TTTGTCAACTAAGTCAAATAATAATTTGTAGATCAATTTTGATGATCTTTTAATAATGTTAATTTTGCAGCTAACAGCAGTGCAACGCTTTTTGAATCAGATATTAAATTATTTCAGGTACAAAGTAAATGCTTTTATTTCAATTTATATTAAAAGATTTAATTTCGCTAATATTTTTAATTATCTAGGCAAAACTTTGTGTTATCATAAAAGACGTGCCTAAAGTCGATAGGGAAGGCATTCTTCAAGAATTTCAATTAAAATTTGCTTAATTAATTTCAGAGGTATATTTATAATTATTTAATTGCTTTTTTATAGCAGTTCAAATTTTTTTTTTTTTTAAAAAAAAAAAATAATTCAATGTATTAAGGAGGGTAAAAATAATTTCATCACAAGAATGTATCAAGGTGGATTGGATATTATTCGTTGGCCAATGTTTAATGAATCTGCATGGTTTAAGTCATTATCAAAATTGAATAAAAGTTAGATATGCAGAAAGCAAAATATGACAATACGCAAACTTTCCTGCAATATACAAAAGTAATTATGGCTAAATTAAAGGTTCGTATACCATTATATAACTATCTTGTAATTAATATTTTCTTTAACCAGAAAGAAATTCACTATTATATTATATAATTTAGACATGTGATTGGGGATCATTAGACGAAAACCTTATACAAATCTGTGTAGCAACATTAAAAAGGTTACTAGTAACTGCAATTTCTTATGATTTAGAGCAAACTGACCCTGTTATTGAACTTATGGTATTAAGTTTGTTATTTTGTAAATCTTAATAAACTTAAAAATATATATTTATTAATTTATTAATTTCATTAGAATCACGATACCGGAACATTGATTGATGATTCAATAGCCAAATTATCTGTTATATTACATGACTTCAAAGATTCCGACCAAATATTACCGGATTCTGGTCTCCAATTGTATGGTGAATATGAATCTTTTGTCAAACTATCTGAAGGTTTAAGGGCTTACTTTGAAAAAAATGTACAACCGCGAAAAGACTCATCTGATGATTCCAAATGGTTCTCCAACTTAAATAAATTCATTAAATGTATTATTGAACGTCGAGTTTTACGTGTCAAAGATTGGTATCTTCAAAATACTGCCAAATTTTCTCAGTAAAACAAACAAAACAGTGACATTATTAATGGAAAGTATGCAATGGAGTAAGAAATAAGCAAACTTATACTTTAATGGACATTGTGTGGATTAACATGTCATCAATGTGGTTTAAAATGTGTTAAAAATCGAGATCACGAAGAATATCATGATTGTTTAACAAATCATAAATGTAAATTTTTTTGCCACTTTATTGAAATTCATAATGAATCAATTCCAACATGTGGTTATATAGCTGGATATGAAGGTAAACATGCTTGCAAAGAAATGAATCACTTGTGTGATGCATTTTATAGCCTTATTGATAAGCGTAACTGCCAACAAGTCTGCTCAAAAGAAATCAGACATGAGGATGAGCATTGGTGTCTATCTTCACGTCATTATTGTGGAAAAGCTTGTTTGTTATCAACAAAAACTCCGAAAGGGATTATCATTGTCTTAATAAATGCATTAAGCCATATGAAGAAGTACATGATTTACATCACTGTAAAAATGAGACGTATCCGATTCAATGTCCAATTTTAGATTGCCAGCGAAAATGTCAAAGCAATAATCATTTTCACTCTAATTCGCAAGTGGATCATTTTTGTGGGTATGTATTAATATAATAATGTTTGTTTCATTCCTTTAATGTATGTAATTCATTAAATTTTTTATGATTTTAAGAAATGAGCATCAATGTCATGAATTATATGAAGAAACTGGTATATGTAAAGTAAAACTTGAACCCAGGAAGCAAGAGGATGTTTATGATGGATTAATTAAAGGAACTTCTATTACATTTACAAAGGTACAGATTAATATTTATTATGTGATAAAATTGACTAACTAACTGGATGTTAATTTATTATTATAATAGTATATTCAATTAAGTGAAAGATTGAGATGTAACATAAAAATTTCTCCAAATGAATTTAAGCATACTGGAAAGCATACACATCATACAAATGAAAAAGAAGATGGTTTTCATTTTTGTGATGAAAAATGTTGATTCTGTGAATATTTTGTATGTATTGTAAAAAAAAGAAGAAAATAAAAACTTATACTAAATCAATATTTTATAATTAGTGTACGTTACCCTATAGGCACACACAAAATCATAACACAAGTCATGGAAATATGATACTAACTGAGTTCACTGGAGAGGATTATGAATTTAAATATGAAGGGTTAGTATAAATATGATAGTTTTATTAATAATTATAATTAATTATATTTTAAACATTTTAAATCAGACATAAATTAAGAGTTGGTGATCAAGGAACTTTTGTTCTTTGCAATCTGGTATGCTACTTCATAATTTTTATTTATATTATTTTGAGACTTTAATTTTAAGAAATTCTTGTATTAGTTTTGCAAAGATTTAGGAAGACACCGTCATATTGATTATTGTCAGAGTCAAGATATTTGTCAAGGACAAGATATCCAGCATATTAATGGTAATTTAAATTTTTATTTCCAAATGTAAAAACATTATTATTAACTATTTGATAAATCGTAGAGCAAATACAACCTAATCCTAGTATAGAAAAAGATTTCATTTCTCACAAATTGTTCTGGAAAAGAACAGGTTTCAAAGGTATGTATACTTGACAATTTATATATAGTGATTACACATATTTATATTTATTTTCAAAATTTAGATCCATATTCTGCTCAAGAACAACAAGAGTTTGCGAAATGTGATCATGAATGTTTAGATGAAATACATCACAAATCTAAGGGATCTACAAGCAAATCAACGAATAAATCATTTTGCGAATTACCACTTTTTCATACTCAACTTGATCCAGAATCAAATCCTCCTCATGATAATGGATATATCTCCAAAGATAGACATCATTTTAATTATGAGAATCCAAGTGCATGTGAAGCAGCTTTTCATATTATCTTTGTTTTGAATCATTCATCATCTATGGGAGGATCAATTCAAAGCAATATATTAAAGCTTTGGTTTCGTGATAATAATATGCTTGACGCAGTATATAATGCGGTATGGTTAAAGATTTTTAAAAAATAATTTGCAGGACCGAATATAACATTAATTTTAAACTTAGGTTTTCCAATTTATGAATGCATGTATAAACTCTACAAATCAAGTCATTCGTGATAAGTTATCATTGATCTTATTTAATCACAAGGTTTTATATTCATACTTTAATATTTGAATTTATAAAATTTAATATACAATACACTAATTAAATAATTTAAGGTTATTGTTCCGTTCGAGAATGAAGATCCAACAGATCTGAAGAAATTGTTAGATGCAATGATTGTCCACAAACCTAATAGTGAAACATGTTTCGAAAGTGCAATTAAGAAAGCTGGATCTTTGATTTCATTTCATTATGATCCCACAAGGTATAGTTTTTAATAAAAAATAACTATTAGTATCTTTAGTACATCTTAAAATATTCTCACTTTTTTAGAACAAATGGCATTATCTTCTTATCTGATGGAGAATGCGTAATTCCAGAAAGGCAGCTTCATCATGTCTTTGAAGAAAGTCAAACAAGAGGGTAATTATTATTAATACATGTATTGTAAAGTAATATAATTTGAATCCTAACATTTCTTTGGAACTTCAGGTTCCCATTATATCTCTATACTGTTTTATTTAGCAGCAACTCGTCTTTTTCTTGCTTAGAAGAAATGGCTAAGATTGTGCAATCTTATCATAATAATTACATATCATCCGATAGCTTACAATCTCAATTTACTCGAGCTATTGATGAGATAAGACTAGTAAATCATTTTACGGATGTGGTAAATAATTTAAGAGAACATAAGCCGACTTTGTTAAAGAAGGGACCTAACAGCTAATATAAATTTTTAAAATTTGATGTTTTTTGGGAATTGACATTATTTTTTTATTTTTATTATATTTTATGTCATGGTATATGTAAAAATATGGATAATCAAAATAAAATATTTGCTCAAGATTATTTTTTTTTTTGTAATTTGCATGTTGTACCTTAAATGCGTTAATAAAAGCTTGATGCAGATGCATCGGTTAAAGTTTTTCTTTAACTGATTATCTTATCTTGGGCCAAAATTTGATTTTCGGCCAAGAATTAAGATTTTAGTAATGATAAAATATTTGACTAGTTCCATCCAAATTTAAAGTTCTAGCTGTAATTAAATTTAACTGTTCATTAACCGGTTAAGAATTTTTAACCTTGTTAGCTTAAACGGTTCGTCATTAAGTTAACTAAGATTATTTGCTAATAGAGAGTTTAAGTGTGTCTAAACTATAGAAGAAATAAACACGGATTAATTATGTTAAAGGGTCAGGTCGTCTTTATCGATATAGATTTAAAAAAGTATGAAATTGTATATGGAGCAAAGATATAATTGTTAAGAGATAAATGTTATTGATTTATTAGAGAATTGTAGTGACTCTGCCATTTATTGAGG